CCATGTCTTCTCCTTGCAGGAGGGCTTGAAAGGCGGGGTGGTACAGCAGAGACAGACACACTAGGTGCACACCTCTCCTCTAACTAGCTGTGTGACCTTGGACAAGTCACTTTGCCACTCTGAGCCTCCGCTTCTCCACCTGAGAACCTGGAATCATGATACCTACTTTGTCTGGTTGTTGTGAGAATGGCCATGAGTTGTACAGTATCTGCACATGTAGACTGTGCTCAACAAAAGTTCTGTTTTACTATATTATTGCTGCTACTACCAACATCCAGATCCCAGAGGGTGGCGTCTGGTCTTCTATTCTATCATATGCCATTTAATTCTATCCTCTTCTATTCATTCTACTACTATTAGTCATAACTGAATTTTTCAGGCAGGAGCTGAGTCTTTTTTCCTTCTCCTTCTCCTTTCTCTTTTTTCCTGTCGACTCTTTGGCCCACTTCCCCGCTCCCAAACATAAACTGCCTAGTTCAGTGTTACATAAAAGTCGACATTCCCAATCAGGAAATATTTGAGGAAGCAGTTCACTGATGTCTTTTAGGATGACCAATCTGAATCCCTTAAGTGATTTTCTTTTAACTTGAACCTGATCTCCTCCAGTTCCCAACATGTGCCAGGCCGAGCCTTTAACAAAGTTAAAGTGTATGAGGGAGTACATCATGCTACAGCCACTTTGGAGGGCAACTTAACAGCATCTTTTAAAATTAATAATTGCATGACCCCATGAACTGGCACTTTCATTCCTCGCTGGAGAAACATTCACACGAGCTGGAGGAGGCACATGCAAGGAGTTCACTGCAGCACTGCTACTAGCAGCAAAACCCCACAAACATCCTAAATGTCCACTGGTGGGGAAGGGTTACAGCCTCCACACAAGAAGTATTAGGTAACATTGGGTCCTGGAGCAAACGGTCAAGTTCATGTCCCAGACCTGTCATTTACTAGCTGTGGAACTGCTGCCTTTCTCTGTCTTCCTCCTCTCCTAACTCACTTTTCTCCCTCCCTTGGTCCCAGGACAGTGATGTCTGGAGGAGAAGCAGGGAAGGATGGCCTCGGTGGGCAGTCCCAGTCACTCACCTCTCCCGTGGTGATGTGTGTTAGAGACTTAAATTGCATTAGCTTCTCGAAGGCAAAGGAGAAAACGGCTGTACGAAACCTGACGCCTGTGCGCTGGTTGAGGACCCAACATGAGCTCAGACTCACAGACTTCAGACACTCGGTGAGAAACAGGGCAAAGCAGAGTCCCACTCCATAGACAATGTTCCCTGACTGCTCTTCGGAATATTCCAGTATCTTTGGTATAAGCAGCATCTAAAAGGAAGCAGGAGTTTGGATCATTCAGGCCCCCCAGTCCTTCTTTCAGGCAACAAATCTCAAACGTGGGCTGTGGGAGGTCCTCGGGTCAACGTCAGGGGCTTGTTGAATGGTTAAAACTGACTCAAGCACAATCCTGCCTTCAGAGAGGACACAGTAGTTGGAGGGGACTCAGAGGTCACACTGACCCAGATCTGAATCCCAGCTCCGCCACCTCGTGGCTGGTCCTGACAGGAACCAGAAGACACACACGCATGGGGCATTTCAGGAGTTAATAAAGTGACTATTTACAAAGTGTGGGCAGAGTTAGGAAATCCAACCAGGGATGGTGGAGCACCATGGAGCTAGTGACAGCAGGGAACTGTTCCCTCCCCAGACCTAAGGGGAGAGGGGAGGGTGAGGTTACTGGAACCCAGAAGGAGAGAGTCATACAGACAGGGCTCCTCACAGGAGTCTGCTCACTGACCTCCAGTGACAGGGAGGCAGGTGCCAGAGGATTACACACCCTGCCCTCACTTGTTCCTTCCCTCCAGTCTCCTGTTGGTGTCTCCCACTGGTCCAACCCAACCAGAGGCCACAGGGCAGGGGGACCCCATTAATGTGATCCACACAGGCCACACACAGGGGCACAGGGCAGGGTGGACAATGGCAGGGAGTGGATCTGGAGGGGCAAATGGAGAATATCCAGCACACTAACGGTCACCCAGGGAACTTGTCTCCGTGGTGTCATCAGCTGTTGTTTCTTCCTGACCCGCATCTGTTCTCCCTTAGCTGGTAACAGCACCTCGGTTTTCTCGTGGGGAGACTATCACCTGCCCCACTGCATGTAGTCTAGGCTGGATTGTCAACAAAAGTGGCCCACCCTCTGCTGGCCAGCCGGTGAGACTGTGACCCCAGCTGGGGCAATCAGATTCCCTCTCCACAGTCAGAGTCTTGGGCTGAGGAACTGGAGGACAGGAAATAGTCAGAGCCAATTCATCTCAGCCTTGAGCCCTGGAGGAGACCATTAGTTCCTGTCCCCACATTCCCAAGGCTGCTCCGCCATTGCTCAAAGCAGCTAGCATGTACTGAGCCAGGCACAGCTCTAAGGGCTTTATATACTGATCTCATTTAGTGTCACCCTCTGAGGCAGGTAGCGTCATGCTCTCCATTTTACACATGACTGTTCTATGAGGTCTACCGCCGAAGGTGTCTGGGGGTTCCTTGATGAAACTAAGGCACATAGGAGGTGAACAAATTGCCCAAAGTCACCCAGCAATTAAACAGCAGGGCCAAGGTTTGAGCCCAGGCAGTGGCTGCAGAACTCACACTCCCATTCCTAGCTCCAATGTCCTAAAACAGTCTTCATTTTCTGAGCAATTCCTGGCATGGACTTGAACATGCTAATCCCTAAAGCCTTGAGTCCCCCAAACCTCACCAAGCCCGCCACTTACTGGGCCTAGCACACTTGCGACACAGAGGCAGCAGCCGAGGATCAAATTGAAAATAACCCTTGTTCGTTGGAATCTCAGCATCACTCGAAGCACTGAAGCTTTCTCAATCCCACACCTTGAGAATTCTTCTTCCCAAAGGAGGCAAAGCCTTGGAAAGAGGAAAATTGAGCCAAATGAAATCTCTTTGCGTGTGTCGCCCAAATGTCCCAGGGCTTGCTAGTCTAGGAGGTTCATGACAGGAATTTTCAAACATAACAAAAGTAGAGAGAACAGTATAGGGAATCTCCCCAAATACCCATTCCCCAACTTCAAGAATGATCAACATTCGAGATTTTCATTTCATCTCTCCTCCCCTCTTCCGTTTTTCTTTTGTGCTGGAGTATTTCAAGCAAATCCCAGACGTATCATTTTCTCTATAAATGCTTCAGAATGTATCTCTTCCACATAGGGCTTTTTAAAAAGAAACCATAATAATGATAGTTATTAATTAATAACTATTAATTGTTGTATATTAATAAGATCGGGACAATAATTCCTTCTTGGCATTTAATATCCAGCCTGTATTCAAATTTCTCTAAGTATTTAAATATACGTTTTTATAGTTGGTTTGCCTAAATCAAGATCCAAACAGGGTCCACACACTACATTAAAAGACAAATCTGATAGACCTCTTGGTCGCATTTTAATCTATAAGTTTCCCCTCCTCTGCATTTTCTGCCATTTACTTCTTGAAAAACTAAGTTCTTTATCCTGTAGAGTTTCCCACTTTCTAGATTTGACTGCCTGCGTCCCTGTGGTGTTGACTAACATAATCTTCTATCCTCTGTATTTCCTATTAAACGCCACGTAGACCTAGAGGCTGAATGAAATTCACAACTCAAGTCAGTTGGCAAAAATATTTAACAGGTGATGTAGTGTTCTTCCTTTTGCATCACGTCACAAGACACACCCTGTCTGGTCCAACTTTTAGTAATGCTGACGTGGATCAGTGGGTTAAGGTGTGTCAGCCTGATTCATTCATTGCCAAGTTTCCCATCATTGACGACCATTGTCTAGATCCACTTCCATTAGGGCTGGCACAATGGTGATTTTTCTAATTCTATGATTGCTTCTATATTTAGTAGCTTGAATTTTTCTGTAAAAAATAAGTATCTCTCATCAACTATTTTGTTCTCCTGAAGTACAATTAGTTGAGGAAGTAGCCTAGGACTTTGAATAACATCATGTTTCCTTTTTATTCACAAATTATGATTCATAAAGCTCAGAACTCTGGCCTCCAAAAAGTGCTCTGATTTATTTCAAAGTCCCCAAAAGGGTGCCCCTATGTTGGATCACCCAACAGAAAGTGTATCCTTATTTTGGCATTCCAAGCTAATGAATCCTAGGATGATTGTGTTACACCAGCATAACAGGAATGCCAAAAACATTTCTTTTGGAAAAACGTTTGATATACAATATTTCAAAAAAGTATCAAAGAAGTTATTAAAAAATTAAAATTTTCTGACTTTCTTATACCTCTTTTTTATTGAATTATATCTGAGGCAGGAGCAGGTGACTGGACAATAGTCACTGTGGTGCTTAGGGCGTCCAGAATCTAATCCGGCCTTGGATGCCCCCTATGCCTCCACAGGCTGGTCTGTCAGCAGCAGTCCCCATGTTGGCTTCTGCCCATTTACTTCCTGGCTCCTGCTGCCATATGTCCGGGTCCACTGTCTGGAAAGCGGTTACCACTGCCCTTGATGAGAACATCAAGGACAATGCCAAGGGACTCCAGGTTCTCCTCAAGCTTCTACACCTTACAGAGCAAGAGCACGGTGGACAAAACGGGCCACCCTTTGTCCCCAGGCCCTGACAGCAGCACAGCTTGTGCCTGTTCTCAGACAGCTCTATCAGCTTCTGGGTCTCATCCTCTGCCCAGAATCTCACCAAGTTGCTCATGGCAAGCAGTTCTAGCCCTTTCAACCTTTTACCTCTCCAGCCATGGACACTCATGCCCAGCCTAAATCCAGAAGGGAATTAATACCACGAGAATCTTTCTGTCCTACTTCCCCTTACCTGCT